GCTTGTCATAAGATCGGGGGGGGTAGGGCTCGCTGACTTGGCAGGTCATTGTATCCCAATTGCATAGATCGATGCTCATGCCGTCGATCACAGGATTGTATTGTCCGACTGGAATGTTTACAGACCTCTGTCATATAGCAGGACTATTGCTGAGTGCTGCGTTAAACAATAAACAAACAAACAAACAAAAGGATCGTTACATAGACACAGGTAGCACTCTTGTGGAGATCTCCCCATGGGACGTCCGAATTGTTGTGCTAGCTGACAGGTGAGGATGGGGTGGTCACGAACTGTGTATTGCCTGTCATCGTGTCATAGCACACCGACGGTGTTATTCGCTGTTCGTGCTACCCACATCATGATTGTATGGCCAGAGTTATAGCATCCTCGATAATCTCCAGGGTATACGTTCCGATAAATCTCCACGAAACCCTGAATGCATCTACGGCTCGAGCTGATGATTAAATTACCTCCCTTTGCTGGCTCCGCATTCTCACAGTAGCCAATCAGATAAGTCGCCGTTACAACCGAGCTTGCCAGTGTCAACAAAGATAGCGGTCGCAGCCGCGAAAGTTTGTTCGCAGTGAGACTCAGATTTGGGGGGAAAACATACAGACATATTGACAGGTCTGAAATCTTAAAGACATATATGCAAAAACTCTTTCTACCTCTTTCAGAGTACCCCTGCAACAATATATTATTGTGTTGTCAAGTTTAATCGGTTAGATAATTTAAAAAGCGAAAGTGAGTTCTGATTGGTACGCTCTACTTCTCAGGGTAGACATCTGATTTGATAAAAAGCCGAGGGAGGAAATAAAATCATCAGCTCGAGTCGTAGATGCATCCAGGGTATAGTGGAGATTTATTGGAACGTATACCCTGGAGATTATCGAGGATGGAGTTATAGTAGGCCACCGCTGAAATATTGATAACAAAGTAAAACAACATTCCTCCTACCTTCCTTCTCTAGGAAGACAAATTAAAAACTCAGGTCATTCAGCACCCACAGGTTGTATGTTGTTTGCTGATAGCTGCAAAATTGACCCTAGGCTGGATAGTGCAAGACCATTATCCATCCCTGTACACAGCAAACAAACAGTTGATGCGCATTTTCAATTTCTTTCCCCTGATTTTCTTCAGCTATAACAATGTTTCCACAGCCATTGCCACCTGTTGATACTCGTAGTGTGGGGGACCCTAAAGGGCACGGCCCCTGTTACATTCTGCCCTGACCCAGGGGACTCTAGAGTGGTCTTCCAGGATGCCCTCCATACCTGCCGTAAGAACGTCTAAAGTGATCACCGAGAGGTTATAAGAGGTCAGGGGCGGTGCTTGGGTAGCCTTGTGGTTAAAGCGTTCGCTCGTCACGCCGAAGATCGACCCGGGTTCGATTTCCCACATAGGTACAATATATTAAGTCCATTGTCCCCCGCCGTGATATTGCTGGAATATTGCTAAAAGCGGTGTAAAAATAAACTCACTCACTTACTCACTATAAGAGGTCACTTACTCACTGTCGTGATGATGTTAACAAATGATTTCAAACTCAACACCATTCAACATCTCCCTGTCGGGATGTTAACAGGTAGTATAAAAACCCAACACCACTCATCCACTTAATATTGGCGACTTACTGATCTGAACGGACGCTTATCTGATGATTGCAAACGGGACTTATTGATCTGAACAGACGCTTATCTGATGATTGCAAACGAGACTTATTGATCTGAACAGACGCTTATCTGATGATTGCAAACGAGACATTGATCTGAACGGACGCTTATCTGATGATTGCAAAGGAATCCCTTTTGCGCAGATCGATGATTGTGATGCCAGTCACCTGATTGTCTGCTTCAAACTCGATCATGTTCAGACCACTGTCTTCACTTGAGTATGCAAACCATGCACGCTACAAACATTTCGACCGGAGCTGTAATTCTCCTCACTTGTACCGAACTTGTATGTTATGAGTTTAACATATGACAACAAAGCAGTGAGAGAAGACTTAACTAAAATGTACACCAGTATTCGGTCATTAGCACCTCGTCTTCCTGCAATCACTACTTCTCAAGATGGCGTCACACTACATGCAGATGTCCGGCGGCCGTCTCCCGGCGGTTTGACTGTAGCGGTGTACAGGCTATTTGTGAATGGGCGATTTTTTACTGGCGTCTTGAGGGGTTGTTTCAGGTTGTACATTAAGTTGTGTCGGTAACTGAAGCCACTTTACAGTCTCCATTAATCATCTATGACTACACATGATGATGAAGCGTTGATGAGGTAGGGATGCCCTTGTTTTGTCATCACCAGCATCTATTTATACAACGCAAACATGAATGCTATATTTGTCCTCCCACAGATAAATATTTAACTTATGTGATATATGTGTCTTAGTTAAGTGCGTTATTCGGTTTGTGTGTTTCGGTTTGTTTTTAGTTTAGAAATACACTCGTATGGTTTGTTTATGAAGGTAAACCTCCCTATTTGCCGGCAAAGTGACGATGTGACTTACAGTCTTAGCTCATTTATAAGCAATCTTAATTTTATGGAAATAAATACATTTACTAAAACATTATTCATAATCTAATAACTACGAACTGTTTCGAAATAATTAGATCATGAATTATCCATCTTTGTAATGTGAAACATGTGCATTAAACCTACGCAATCACACAAGTATTTGATGGAGTGAAAAATATTCAAAACAAAAAATGTTTACAGCTAACAAAAAAATCTTCATATTTGTAAATATTGCTTTTATGGTTAATCGATCAATTCCATTTTTTGTATTTCGAAATGTATCGTATGTAAGATTTTAGCAGGTCATGGGGAGTACCAAATACACGATAACTCAGCAATCTGAAATAATTATCAACCTTGACATACCATCTAATAATCTCCAGGTTTATTTTAGCACAGCATGACTCAATCAGTTGTTAAATGCGTACGGCTCTAAGAACGTGCCTTCTACACTCGCCTAGCTCACTGTTAAACACGTATATGGTTTAAGCGTTGACCCTTTCCACATTGTCTTTTTTCCTTTCCGTGGTTTCTTTGAGTATGGCAGAAAGAGTGAAACTTAAACAACTAATGTTTTGCTTTAGAATCTTGCTGTAAAATCCCTCTTCAATGAGAGAAACGAAAATCAGTTACAACAATACTGGCCCTTAATCCTGGGCGTTGGGCGTGACCCTTGAACTTTATTCTAAAATGTTTCGCAAAACGATCAAATGCGCCGACAGTACTTCGTCAGGCGCTAAAGTACAATTTTAGCATCATGACGTCACACTGTATTGACGTCACTACGCCATTCTCGTCTGCCCCCTCGTTAGCAATTAAATTAAAACGTACCCTTGGTAACCGACGTCACGATGCATGTCAGCTGTCATCTCCTCGCACAGTCTTCTAAGGTAAACTAGTCTGTAGCATCCCGTTTCTTGGTTTGCAGTTTCTTCACTAGGATAACATCACTGGTGGGAACATTGCGTTTATGCTTTTGAACGGATAAAATGTCTCAGCTCGACTCACAATTAAACGTTCGCGATGTTTACAGTCCCACAATGCATCCGTGGAATGTCGCGTTACTAGTCAGCCTCAACAAGATACATAAGTTGATCTAAATTACTTGCCTGTTAGCCCATTGTATACGCTCATTACGGTGTCTGTCAGTCAAAATTGGTCCAACGTAAAGACGTCAAGCATGGGTCCCTGTAGCGTGTAGACGGCGTCGCACGGTGTCAGCGCTGATGACCCCACGTCGACCTTGAACTATTGCAGCAGTCCTGGCAGTCGGCAGCGTTTGATCGCGGATATGGTCAAGGACAATATGGCGATCCTGACGGAGTCTCGTGACACGTTATTGTCAAGGTCGTGGAAGGTCACGGGTGCTGCTCGTCTGCTGATGTCGTCTATGATGCCTAACGATGGTGGAGTGGCCAAATCCAAGTTGTCGAGCAATATCCCTGCTGCTGGTGCCAACCTGAATCATGCCTACCGCACGTTCTCTTTCGTGAGGTGTTAACCTCGGCATCTCTGTCCTCGTTTCACAATCGTTCGTGAAGCAATGAGAATTGTTTCTTATACACCTGCTTTTAATGTCACAGTCAGCATGATTTCAGAATGAAATTCGCGCTTTTTTCATAGCGTGGCAATATGTTGATGCGTTTTGGAATTAAGAGTCATACAGTGAACAGGAATTTGTTTCTAAAGCATTTTTTCAACTGGACATGCCCTACGACTTCATGTTAGTTATATTCATTGATCATTGTCATGCTGAAAACCATCTTGATGAAATATGGACAATTTTAGACTGGTGCATTTTTAATGCTGGTGAGTATATTATAGCTATAAACGTTATAATACAGGTAGTCTGTCGTACAGACCCTGAAGTAAATATATACAAGAAAGCCCACGCAAGTCTAGAAAATGTGGCAAGTCTAGATTTCCTCAGCTTCAGCCTCTGAAAATGAAGAAAGTCTCAGGACTCCTTTTCATTATATTTTATTTTTTTTACTATGAACTCTTTTTCAGTAAAATATGTTCATTTCAGAGACTAGTTGTTAGTCTATAATACAGGGTACTTCCGGGTATTTCTTTAACCCCACCACTACGCTTGCTCTTCAGCTTTAGCTCTACAGATATGCGACATACACGTACCAATGTGTTTTTGTCGCTTTCCCATCTGAATTGTCGGTCAACATGGAAAACATTCAGAAGAAAAACAAAACAAAAATAAGACAAAATTACCAACTTTATAAACATTACTAGGGTGAAACATTGCAGATTTAAGGTCCATAACAATATAACTATGCATCAAATATGTCATCATAAAATAACCACTCTTCTTTTTTAATTAGCCACTATCAAACATGGAGGTACACTTGCTTTGCATGGCGCATTATGTACTGCGTAGCGTTGTTAGCTGTTTGATATGCGGTTCATTAACTGGTTCAGCTGAAGCCACTCTGTGTAACTCGATATCAACTATTGTTTGAAGTTTACTTGAATTGTTTCTCTTACGCCCACACAGCTGCCAGGCCCTATATAAGTATCCGTTTTAATACTACTTCACGCTATGACAGCCCCGACCTTAGACTTGCACAAGTCTCTTAAGTAATAATTAATAGTATAAATGAAATATAAATAACAGACTAGTGTCCTTAGAGTACAGACAGACTCCATGTTCCTGCGCTATACGCTCCAATGATCTGCTTTGAAGCGCAAACTACACTCACTTTTACCAAAAATATCGCAAAACGTTTATATATCATGCAAAGCACATTTCTGCACTACAAGTTGAAGTTGTCTATATTGCAAAGCCAGCTCAATCCGCTCAACCAGACTAACACGAAGTTGGTGTACATTGCAAGGCAGGCCACACACGTCCATTTCAGATAGTGTGGCACTCTCCGCTCACCAATAGACAAATACAACTCAACACACATCACAAGTAATTAACTGCCATTCAACGAAACAGGTTTTCCTACTTACACCAACGACACACAGACATCGAGTTACAATGCTCGGAAGCTTTACAAATGACTCATCCAAAATATCCGGAAGAAAACATTAGTGAACCTATGTTCAAGATTTGTTTGAAGGCTGGAAATAACTCGCTGTGAAATTTGGCATTATCTCACGTCAAAACAACGTTAGTCAAAGAATAACTGAAATGTTTAACAACATCAGGTGAAAATAACGAAAGTTTGAAAGTGAGAACCCAAGTTTGAAGTAAGTTGCACAAAGTGTTGGAAACATTGCCAAAAGTATGAACTGATGGCGAGGGCGAGATGTTCCAGCATTGCAAACGAGTTGACATTTTCGGGATTGCAAATGGTTTTGGCTTAACCCCTAGTAAGATCTTACCACGGTGTTGTTACGTGTAACACAGTAAACCAAGGTAAGACGAGACCTTGCTCCCTTTCCTTGTTGTGTTGTGTGGTGGACCTGTTGCTTGGATGTATTGTACAGGTTGCATAGCGTTTACTTCGAACTCAGAATGTCGCTGTTTTTGTGGCCGATATATACATTGGTTACATTCCCATTGTTGTTGTTCAATTCCTAAAGACAATATAAAAACGTATTGTCACTAACAGTATGATAATTCCTTAAGTTGTGGAACCTAAGAAAAACATCGACTTTGAAAATTGCAGGTCACGAAGGCATATAGCTTCATTTTGCTATTTAGTCATTGTGAGCATGCATACGTTCGTAAATATCGAATCATATAAGAAATATTCTTTGGCGAAAAATAATGAAAGTTCTCAATTTCAGAATGAAATGATAAAGAATATTTAGTTTTCATACATGAACTCTTATCCAACATTTTCGGTCAAGTACTAATCTTTGTTCCTCGCTGGCACATGGCACACTGCTTGTTTATTAATATTAATCCTGCAATACTCGATTGCTATATGTATCATAACGACATGTTAGAAACAGTGAGTTGAATGAATATATGTCGATGCGAAAGTGGCTGTGTAGCTGTGACGCCACATACGTTGATATAAATAAGTCATGGAACTTAGAGTATTCAAAGTCATTTATGCACAAGAGCTGCAAAAGGTCAACGTCACAATATGGTCACGTATTACGTCTGTGATGCGCATTTGTGTTCCCTATGCCGCTCAAAAAAAGTAAAGGGTCGAGCCTAATTAAATTAATAAGGACAGATCCCTGAAATGATACTTGAATGTTATCCCCCAATGACTGTACTATAAAATGTTAATGTCTATATCAGTATCTATCGTTATCCTCTCTTAAGGTGTGAGGTTAATCGGTTGTATTTTCAAAAATGGCTTAATGTCACTATCGTGTCTCAGCTTACCCTATCAAAACATGCACATGTATCATTTTCCAACAAGGTATTTGAAGGATTAATTTCAACGATACAAAATGTAGATAAAATGCTATCAAGTCCTCAAAGAGCCCGCGGTCGCGACAAAGCTATGCAAGAGATGGTGTCTCAGGAGGAACCTTGTCTGAGGCCACTGTTCTTAATAGGATCAGGTGCCAGTTCAGCGTTCACCTGATGCTCGTGAAACATACCCGAGTAGACACAAGCCATTTATCATTGAGGAACTGAAGATATTTGAGAAACACTACCACGTATTGCCTGTCTCAGTACATGAAACATGTATTTATCAGTGACGAGGGTGACTGCAGTAAAAGTAGCAGGTGTCTGCATGAATCCCCGTTACAATGCATTACAGTCCAGGAGGTTTTGGTGTAGAATAGCTCCCAGCATGCTTGGTTTGTAATATCACTATATGTGAGGTGTGATTACCGCCACAGTATTTCGGTTATATCATGGCATGTGGGGTGAATGTGGGAGGAAAGCCCACGGTAATGCGGGTCTTATAGATACGCTTATCTCTTTGGTGAAAACACGGGTAAGGTGTGGACAACCCTAAAATCATAATCAGGGCGGACCGGTCCACGATTCCAAAGCACGATCATAGTTTCGTCACGACTAACTGACGCGTCTTTAACAGCCAACAACTGCGCCTTGCACGACTGGACCACAGTCCATGAACTACATTATTTTCCCTACTGCTAAGCCCTCTCTGCAATGGGCCCTAAATGAAGCAAGTCTAGATTTCCCCAGGTTCAGGAATCTTCCAACTGACTAGGGCTTCTTTTCAATTTAAAAGGGTTTAGTTGTTACTATCATATTCAGAGACTGAGCGTTAGTCTAGACTGGGAGAGACTGGACCCGTGCCTCAGATGCGCCATTGAGTCCGACATCGTGGACCACCCTTTATGCTGTCAATAACTGAGTTGTGCTCGGCATTAATGGGAACAACAAGGACTGGTCGGCTCGGAGTCAGTGTAATGTGTCTAATGTAGTATGTCAGTGGGCTAGCACTATAACACCAGCTTCAGTCTGGGCTAGTACAAGCAGCCGCACATACACATACACACGCATGCACGTCGTCATATGAGCGAAATATTCTCAAGCACGACGTTAAACCCAATTTCACCTAACCTCCAGTCTGTCGTACAGACCCTGAAGCAAATATATCCAAGAAAGCCCACGCAAGTCTAGAAAATGTGGCAAGTCTAGATTTCCTCAGCTTCTGAAAATGAAGAAAGTCTCAGGGCTCCTTTTCATTATATATATATTTTTTTTCTATGAACTTTTTTCAGTAAAATATGTTCATTTCAGAGACTAATTGTTAGTCTACCTCACCTCCTACAGGATGTCTTGATAGTGGAACTGTGGTGTTAGATACGGTGTAAAACAACACCCACACTCATATAACCTGATTATTTGATTGAAAGGGCATACTGTCTTGAGGTGATTATTGTGCAATAGTATTGTATTGTTTGCATGAAACGTGTTGGGAAGAGCTTATGTTGTATTTGAGAAGGGCTATTTTGTTTTCAGAGGACAGGTTTGTACCGAAAGTTGTTACTACGATTATTCTCTGAAATGTTCCGATGTTAAAGCCAAAAACTTCCATTCTGGACATGTAAGTCATATGGGTTTAAGCGGGATTAACCCTCTCAGATACATCGCTTTGTATTTAGAGAATTTCAGATAAATGGTAGTGCAACTGATATCCCAACATTTGCAAAATTACGAGGCTACTCTGACAGCATATATGAATAGCTAAATATCGATGTCTTAAAGGTTCACTGTCAGTATCTATTAAAGGCATATTACTTTCAAACACCGATGTTTTGAACTTAAAGTAAACTTTTGTCCCACTGCATTCTTTATTTAATCATCAACCGGGGTTAGAATTCCGCAACCCATGCTTGTTGTAAGAGGCGACTAACGGAATCGGGAAGTCAGTCTTGCTGACTTGGTTGACACATTTCATCGTATCACATTTCTATAGATCAATGCTCTAGCTGTTCATCGCTGGATTGTCTGGTCCAGAATCGATTATTTACAGACAGGATTCATATCGCTGGAATATTGCTGAGAGCAGCGTTAAAGAACAAACACATTATTTAGTCATTATTTACGGTTATGTTGAACCTCGGATAATTCGAAGTATATACGAAGGTTCTTTCAACGCAGCGAGTAGGGTAGCCTAGTGGTTAAAGGATTCGCTCGTCACGCCGAAGACCCGGGTTCGATTCCCCACATGAGTACAATGTGTAAAGCCCATTTCTGGTGTTTCCCCGCCGTGATATTGCTGGAATATTGATAAACGCGGCGTAAAACTAAACTCACTCACTAAACACAACGGTGTTGGAATTTACCTTTGAGACCGAATATTCTGTTCAGCCTGGTTGAAGGTCAACCTATGTTTAAGGTCAACCAGTATGTCCAACTGTATCGTGTACAATTAACTTTAAACAAGCCCCAGTCGTTGTATATCGAGACAACTGAGTTCGACTCAATGACGATTCATTGTATTCATTGTTTATTCTACACTTTGCTTTTTCCAGCAATTCTTCCGCAAAACCAAAATTGATAAAAGTTTGACCTTATCTACCATCATGCCCAGCCCTGGCGATATTGGTCCATGTGTTTGTCTACCAACGGTCAAATACTTGTTTAACTAGTTCAAAGTCCAATCCTGGGTTCAGAGATCTGGTTAACTTTACAGATCGATTCTGGTCAGAGCAAGTTCTGCTCTCATACCACCTTAACCTTTCTCACCCTATGGGACACGTGTTCTCAATGTACAACAACCGTTCTCTGCTCACGGCCCATAAAACTAGAATCCGTTGTCTGTCGAAATTCCCCTAAGACATTAATTATTCGAATTCCGTGAAGCGAGATGTATTTTGATTAGATTTAAGGATATGGCTGTCGGAATGGAGAGCCATACGACAAAAGGTACGGAATGTGACTTTAGCAGCTGGCGACAGGCCATCAGTGACCAAGGTAAATAAACATGGCGCGGTTCGATTAGAACCCAGGCAACTCTACACCTCACGGCGTCCATCACATCGCATGACAGAAAAATGGTCTGCTCGTAAATTCTAAATGTGTCTCTCGTATCTGAACATCAGACATCAGCACCCTCGATATACCCCATGACGTCAATGAAGGAAGAATGTGTCTTGCCGTATTAATCCTCAATAGTCAAACAATCAGTATTTCTTTTTTTGAGTCGGTGGGTCGAATTTATGCGCCCCCCCTGTCCTCCCCTGTCAAAATTCACATGTAGTGTTTGCCCGTAACCCTGAGAAGCTACAGGCCCTAAGGACCCAGAACCATAAAAGTTTGTGGTTTCTGATCAGAATGGGTAGGCCCTATATCTTTATATGGAAATAAAACTCTTAGATATTGGCGATGAAAAATCTGTCGTCCATAAGGACCTGCAGAAACCAAAAGCTATGGGTCCGAGTGGTTTTCAGTCGGCTTCGGGCCTTAGGACCGACGTTAATTTCGAGCGCTGTTCACATATAGCTATGTGTGAGGATAATTACTGTAACCTATGGTTATAACGAACTCGAAGGGACCACTATGATCAGTTCGTTATAACCGTAGTTCAACTAAAATATATAGCATGTGGCCAGGACCAGAGTTCGTTATATCCGTCTGTTCGTTATAAGAGTGTTCGTTATAACCGTAGTTCGACTAAAATTAGAGATTACATACATTTAGGATAGAACCGGCGAAGATCCGGGTTAGAATGAACCTTCAGTAACCCATGTTTGTCATGAGAGGCGACTAACGGGATCGGGTGGTCAGGCTCGCTGACTTGGTTGACACATGTCATCGGTTCCGAATTGCGCAGATCGATGTTCATGCTGTTGATCACTGGATTGTGTGGTCCAGACTCGATTGTTTACAGACCGCCACCACATAGCTGGAATATTGCAGAATGCGGCGTAAAACTAAACTCACTTATTTAGGATAGAATTGCACAATATATTGTAAAGCGGTAAACAAATACATGAACATTCAAAATGCAGTCTCAGCTCAATGGGAAATATCTTTTGCCATAATCTGGTTCAGTAGATGATAAACTCTGTTCTTTAAGTCGTTTCTTCAACACATGTGAGCTGCTTGGCACGTATCCGACTATGTTACTGTACCTGAATAAAGTAAATCAGCCGTGACCCCATGTGTGAGTGGGTACGTTGACAGTGACCCGAAGACGTTTTGTCTTGATGGCACTGTGACATCAACAGGTCATACTTTGTCCGGGGCGGTGACGTAGCCTAGTGGTTATGGTTCTCTCGAAAAGCCGAAGACCAGGGTTCGATTCCCCACATAGGTACAATGTGTGAAGTCCATTTCTGGTGTAACCTGCCGTGATATTGCTGAAATATTGCTAAAAGCGGCGTAAAACCACATACTCACTCTCTCGTTTTCTTTGTCCATGCCGCCATATGGCTGGAATATTGCTGAGTGCGGCGTAAAACTAAACTCACTCTTTGTCCAGTCATCACTGGCGACAACGTCCACTGAGGTCATTTATGCAACTTTGTCCAAGAATCTATAATTGTAAATATTGTTAATTTTGAACTGAAAATGCCAAACTGTGACACAGACGGAATTGCCATGACCTATCGGGACTAGTATATATACACGTATCAGTTTCAAACTGTATGTGTACCTCTTCTTCCTACCCTGCTTCTCACCGAGGAAGTACACAGGGAAGGAATTAACATGCCTTGAACCTGTTCACTATAAATACCTTGCATTTCTACCACAAACAACCAGTGCAACTGGAAAGATGTCTAACGCTGCAAGGAGTGTTCTTTACTCACAGCACAGCTGTTCCGTTTTGTTCCCTACTTTGAAGCCCTCTCAAATCCCCCTCCACCCCCATCTAAGACCCTCCCCCCAGACACACACACGTCTCAGGTGCTAAGTCCCACTAACAAACCCACCAAGCATATCGAAGTAATTAGTCACTGCAGCGTTAGGCGTTACAAGGTCCGACAGGAAGTACCAAGTGTTTGAAGTGTTGGGAATATGCGGCAATAGAGAAACGGTGTGGGGTATAATTATACACACGTTACACCATAAGTTTATGTATGTGCATGTGTGGTGAGATGCACATCCAGTCTTCATTAGAAGCTCACCCGTGGGAACGAATGGCCTGAATGTAAGTCCCCGGCAAGCTTGTTGGATGAGGCAACGAAAATGATTTGGTTGAGGTCATGTCATAGCATCATGACGTCAAAATTGAGTGATCATAACGTGGATCACTGGATAGTCTGGTCCAGACTTGATTACATACAGATCTTTGACATACAGGTGGAATATTGCTGACTGTGGCGACATACAAAGAAACAAGATATTAGAATGTTATATGTTTCTGAACTGTTCCGATGTAACAAGGACAAGGAAATTCATTAACAGCTAAATTATTCATCTGATATAATAGAGCGCTCACTTGGGGCTACAATGTAGTAATCGATAAAAGGATATAGAATGATGATATGGTAACAATAATGGTGATCATGATGATAGCGAAGACAATGACAAAGATGATGTCGATGACGATGACGACCGTTATAATAACAGAGTCCCTCACTCACACACTTTACTTCCCTCTCTCGTTTTTCTGTCTTGGGTCTTTCGTTGTGGATTGCTTTCAAGGTTCCTATGGATATGAGCCCAACATGGATAAGGGCGGTGGGATAGCCTAACGGTTAAAGCGTTGGCTCGTCACGCCGAAGACCCGGGTTCGAATCCCCACATGGGTACAATGTGTGAAGCCCATTTCTGGTGTCCCCCGCCATGATGTTGCTGGAATATTGCTGAAAGCGGCGTAAAACCAAACTCAGTCAGTCAGTCAGTCCTCTGGATAAATGTATATGAACAGTTGTAGTCAAACCGATTAAATAGCAGAACCTCCACCTGGTTAATTCTACTCCCAATCTGATTACTTGCAGATATACTCAAGTTACCACGACGAGTGAACTATCTGTGATTTTAAAACTACAGGATCATCACAGGTCACCAATTCATAATATCCAATGTATAGACGTCTTGAAAGACGAGTATCACTGGTTTAAATGTTGAATATTGCTGTATCACCTAAAAATATTTTTTTAGTAAAATCGCAAAAGAAATATTTCTCATCTATTCATGTCTGTGTCTAAGTCACCTGCACTCTCTGTGCCACCCTGCCCCACCTAGACTAGCATCTAGTCTCCAAAATGAACATATTTTACAGAAAAAACCAGTTCCTAAATCATGATCATAAAATATAATAAAGAGGAGCAGAGACTTTCTACAGCTAGTCTCCGAAATGAACATATTTTACACAAAAACCCCAGTTTATTAAATAATGATAATAAAATGTAATAAAGAGGAGCCCAGATACTTTCTTCATTTATCAGAAAACTGAAACTGTGGAAATCTAGACTTGCCACATAATCTAGACTTGCATGGGCTTTCTTGGATTTGTTTGTTTCAGGGTCTGTATGACAGACTATGCCCCACCCTGGGATGGCGCGCACTCCAATCCTAGTTATCCCAACACTGTGACCCTCCATTCTTCAACATGTACATATCAAACTCGCTTTCGTCAATATCTGGCTGTAGGGCGCGGGTCGCGCGTTGTGAATTACTGAAGACATTTACATAGCATAACCTACACGTGTCTATTGCAGCATGGTGTGCCCTCGCCACCAGATACGATATTGCTTCCACCATTTCCTATATTTACAGAGTCCTGACTTCCTGACATCGGCAGCTCCCGAGATTCTCAGACTTGTTTCTATAAACGATCACATTGTTTACAATCCAACAATTACGTATGACTTACCCCAGCGTAAACATGGCCGACACGTCTGGGGTAGTGGTGTGAAGTCGGCCTGTAGCGTACATTTACCGCGATGTATGTAAAGTCTGAGAGCTATTTACATGCTGAGGTGGCAACTTTGTGTGATAGTCGTAATAACATGTTCTGTCTTTCTCGGAGTCGAATCACTGAATAGACGAAGCCGTGGCGAAGCTGTATGTACGATAATCTTGCACACAAAGTTAAAACCTATTTACCTCACGTATGTATGGTCTGAGAGCCGGGTTAGGTGTAGACGTCATCAGTGACGGGTGTGAATGGCACGGACACAGATAGCTTAACCTAATAATTGGTGTCTGTAGATTCACATCGGTGATGGACCGATTAGGAAACGTTTTGTAAAGAAAGAAGCGAAATGGGTACTTACAGCTCTCCATACATCAATATAATGGCGTTTTTACTCACTCCAACGTAGTTATAAAGGTCAGTTCTCAAACAACCGTTCTACTCGGAGATTCTGGCCCACACTTTGCCTCTACGAAGCACATACACCCAGTCTCTTCAGAGAGATCTAGTTACCCGACTAGGGCATCCACAAACTATCATTTTTCATTATTCACAACTCGTTTTTTAATAAATCATTATGGTGGCCGGGTTGGTGTCGCATTTCCCCCAATAGCAACAGGGTATGGGAACTCTGCTGTTGGTCTTGAAATGCAGTCAAACCAGTACATTGATTATCAAATTCCTCAGAAATTCTAACACTAATCACATATATTAAAGTGAGCAAACTCAAAAAATGATTTTTGATAAATGAAATGACAATATCTGCTGGCAGCCACAATATGACAATTTGGGCATTTTTCTTATTGATTATAAAAGTCATTGTAAAGTGTACTACTGATTTCAGTATTAATTTACTACAGGTTATGATTTTGATAAAAATAATACAAAAAATCTAATATAAAAATAAATAAAAAATATTTACACTACGCAGTAGGCTTAGATATGCAGTACATCTATTGTATACACGTAATATATAATTTCAGAATACGTAATATAATTCCAGTAGACCGCCCGTCAGCCAATCAGATCGCCAAACGGTTCAATTTCAGATAAAGCTTTAACTGATCAATCAGGATTTTATGATGCTGTACGAGGCAGGTACAAGAATAGATCGATGTTGTTGCATCCTGTGATATGAATGTGATACTAGTCTCTATGAAATAAACATACTTTCATTTACATGAAATGTTAGTCTTGTTACTGAAAAACGATTTACTGATTTGAAGAACAGGATCCACGTCCCAAAAGATTAAAGCATTACCTGATATGACATAGCCTTACCACAAAGATCGAAGGTTGTTTTGTACGTATCCCTGGTGCTTTATGTGTTATGCAAGCGCCAGTGAATCGTCTCCTTGTTTGACGTAATGTCCAATGAAATGCACTATATTTAAGATGCTAAGATGTTTATGATAATACATAACGGTAGGCACAGTTTTGTAAACAGGTTTAAATCTTAACGTTTTTAGATTCCGGAAGTGTAGTGTACAGGTGTTTTGTGTGTTTGTGGGATGGACGTTTTACTTAAAGTATCTGTCACAGATATGCTTACATTGAAAGCTCAGAAATTGGAGTTTCTTGAAAGCCTCTAAAATCCTCATATTTGACATTTCTTAGCTGTAAGTTGTTCTTTGATGACAGTCGTTTTGCGGTCAGTTCCGGAACAAGTTAGATGCAGCCAAAGTCGTAATGAGGTTGCTCTTATGTTTAACGTTCAGTGGCTTCGGACTGGTAACGGATAGAGTGCCGGTTCGGAGACAGCATTGTCTGTGGTTTTATTCCCGGTCGCGTCGTACCGAAAGACGTTAAGAAATGGTACTTGTTGTTACCCTGGCAGTCGACACTCGTGCGTGCATGCATGTCATCATATGAGTTTCACCCTATTTAACCTCATCCAGCTGAAAAGTAAAGTTAGAAACAAAAAGAATTTGAACATATCTCAGCATACAGTAGAAATATTAACACGGAAAAACTAGACAAAGCTTTACCAATATTTTATAACGATATGCGTTATTGAAAACTGGAAATATTACAGACTAACCGACTACGTTCCTCAATCTTAAACCTGTCAAGGGTCACATTGATAACGAGCATCGGACTTAATCCGGGACCAGTATCTCTAAAGCTAACAGAACCAAGGTGCATTACGTTTATCTGTCTTTACGGCTGTTTGTATTCCACGTTGGTCAAATCACGTGCGTGCCACATAATCCTTCGTGGCATACTCTCGACTGGCCATCGATGCTTCGGTCCAACTAAATGACATAATCTCACGTTCACAATAACAACGTTATCGTAAGTTTTATCTGTAAACGCGATTATCTGCGATAGCTAGAATAGGTATATAATACGGATGACAGTTACAAATCAGGGGGTGGCTGTCTAGTAAATTCACTCGGGTCTCGGGTGTTGCGTGGGTTGGTTGTGCCACTGGTACCTCTGCTGAGCGAGTTGAAACTTCAGCTCGCTCTTAATAAGTGGCGGGGGACCGAAAGTGGCAATTGGGACACACCAACCCACAAACATGGCAACACCTGACGCAGGACCGAGACGACCCTTCCACAGACAACCCAAGACTCCACCACAGAACCGGGCGGAACAGACGAGCAACTGGAGGACCCCACAAACAAATGCCCCAGGTACCAACACTACAGGTACTCCTCCAGTCACTATATATGGGGTCCCACTTCCTACACGGTCCATGTCGCAGTAAAGCACCGGTAGTTGACATGATGGACGACAAAGGCAGCGTCATGGCGGTCGTCACCATGGATCACAGAAGAAGATGACCAGAGGCAGAAGCCCAGACAACCCGGTCATCATCAAGATGTCAGCCGATAATCAGGACATCATCGGCAACCCAACATTCATGTGAGTGAACCAACTTTCAAGATCAAGTCAACCTAGGCATACATCACGAATCATATGCAAGTTTCTTCCGATGTGTGTGACAATATCTGTGAACTTTGGTTCTGACTCTCACCGTGAACTGTGTACGTGAACTTCTCAAGGACGTTCTTGTTTATGTGGGGTATGTTGTATGTTCTCCGGTCATTGTTTCGTTGTGTTCACATTTGTCATGTTTTCATATATTGAGTATGTATTGTAATCTATGTCACCAGGTATGTAGATACACTAGTCAATGTAAGTGTCTTTATTTGACGGTCTAGAAAGCTAAATAAAAAGCGATCCTGCTGAATAGTTGCTGATTTGAATTTATAATACCAGAACTGTAAATATCTTGTACATTACAGGTCGGCCAATGTGAATCATAATTCGCACACACCCCCAGTGCATGTTGTCTATTCTCATTGCTAATTTCACGGCGAAAAAACTGGCGTTCTGCCGATATGCTTACGACAAACGAATAAAACAAAATGAAAATGCTGATAATTGCGACGATTCTCGGAACAGTGACAATTTATTCACCTTGCCCTGAGGAATGTATCCATCAATAATTCTAAGGCAAATTGTTCTAAATGATGTGTCTTTTTAACAGTTTAATATACGAAAAAGTGATAAATCTTTTCAGGTGAAGTGGGTGTATAGTCAGTCTTCGCCATAAGCACACCTGGCTAATTGCATAATGTCACAACCTTTCTTTTGCTGCTAAAAACAGTAATTTACGTTAAGCAAATAATGGGCAAATCCATCAATGTATTACCAATCGCCTTTGTTAGCTAGACGTTGTTTTCACGCAGACATTTACACGACAAGGTGTGTATTCGAAAGTATAGATTAGCAAATCACATGCAATCGTGTGTCCGCTGACAATTCCGCCGTTGTAAGATGAAAGTAATTAATCAATCAGCGTGTTATCGGTTAATCCTTTGATCGATGTTTTATAATGTTGAATATTTGCTCTTGTGACAAAGAAATACCAAAATGGGAACCTTTGTCCGGGGTAATCTAAGTGTGTTACAATCAACTAACATATTACTGTTGCCAATTATATTAACTACACCATCAAGTGAATGATGACAAATAACATATGTGGTGGGTATATGTACCCAATCTAAACACCGATTTTACATGAGCGAGCATTGTTGCGTGCGTATGCGAAACTCCATGGGCCGACACTTGACTTTTTGAGAATACAAACAGATTTTACATGACATGATTAAATATCAAAGTAAAACACAGTAATGCGGTAATTCGAATTTGAATCAGTCATTATACAAATAGGGGTGCAGGACAATTCAATCGATTTTTTGACAGAATCGTCTATGAAAACAAGTTGCTTAACTCTGAAACTACAGGGCAAAGCAGGAGACAAAATTAAATGACAGTAGATTGTGAGAACATATAGCTTTCTATTTTCCACAACAGTTGTCACGGTCTTGTGGACGCCACAAACGTGTAAACAAGATAATTTAACCCTAAAATGTGAGATGAATTCTGCATCGGCCCTCAAAGCTATTCCTCATATGACTGCTGACAGATGCGCGCCGCTCTAATTGGTTGAAATTTCGTTCGCGGGTGAGAATTGTGCACTGTTGTCAAAAAGGTCGATTTAAGTCAATTAAAGGTCGAAATGAGTAGTTTTAATGACGGGGTTTCATTTATAACGATGCCAGTTAGTGATTTATGTATTTTTACCCCCTAGGGTTTATGTGACCTTTAAAGTATCTGTCACAGATATGCTTACATTGAAAGCTCAGAAATTGGAGTTTTATGCCTTGTATGCCTCTAAAATCCTCATATTTGACATTTCTTAGCTGTAAGTCGTACTTTGATGACAGACGTTTTGCGGTCAGTTCCGGAACAAGTTAGATGCAGCCAAAGTCGTAATGAGGCTGCTCTTATGTTTAACGTTCAGTGGCTTCGGACTGGTAACGGATAGAGTGCCGGTTCGGAGACAGCATGGTCTGTGGTTTTACTCCCGGTCGCGTCGTACCGAAAGACGTTAAGAAATGGTACTTGTTGTTACCCTGGCAGTCGACACTAAGGGGCTGTAACTCGTGCGTGCATGCATGTCATCATATGAGTTTCACCCTATTTAACCTCATCCAGTTAGAAACAAAAAGAATTTGAACATATCTCAGCATATAGTAAGAAGATCAGTTTTAAGCTGTAATGCGTAGTTTCCTTAAATGAACGCTTTCATAAATACAGACATGTGTAAGATTTCGGACTCATGTCAAACTATTTACAGGGAAATATGATCAAACCATAACAATTTTCGAAAAGTTAATGGAAGTCTAAAATTGTCACGAAAATATTTATGTGAAGTTTTCTTTTTCATATATTAGGCTGTTCCGTTTATTTCACGTGATAATCCGTCCGTTAACAGAGTATAGAGGAAGCTGTGTAGACATCAACATGTGATAGCATATCCTCTACCGCAACATCGCCGACCGACGTAATCATTTCGATTTACTTAATCTTTCAGACTTTCAGCTCTGGTTTCACGATATAATCACTGGTTCAAGAAGCGTTGTTTATCTGATAAGTCGTGTCCGGAACCTGTAGAATGTCCCCCGGAAACAGCTGGTTTTCCAAACCACGTGGCGTCTCAGACAGCTGACTGAAGATCAGGTGGTCGAATCTGGGCCAGGCAAACCAGTGACCGATGTTATGAAGAGCGGTCCACAATATCGGGGCATTGTGACATGCTATGAGACAAGTCTCATATTCTGAACAATTTATCCTTCATATTATTTTCAGCTCTTACGATAAACACGCCCCGGGCAAAGTTTACTCCAAATCGCGATGGGACTCGAGGTAACGACACGAGATGAAATGGGGTTGAAGGTCGCTTTCAAGATTATTGTACTTATACAACCACGTGTGTGCTTGTGCGTGTGTGTTTGTGCGTTTATATTGCCAGTTTGATAGTGCTGGACCACTGAAACTCAGCAGTTTAACATGGAAATCCAACTCATACACAGCTACTGACCCCGATCCGACCCATCCTTGTTATATCTGTTATGAGGCATGGGTAACAACAACAACAACAACAACAACAACAACACCTCTCAGCGTCTTTTGGTATGACCCAACCTGGGATCGAACCTCTGATCTTACGCTCTCCAAGCAGATGTTCCATCCACCAGCCTACTGGTTCTCGTCTCGAAAACATAGATATAGGAACACTTACTCTATCAAAAGGATACCCTAAGCCCCCTTTCTCCTTTGCGGTTCTTGGGAGACTCTATGTAAA